AAAGAGTGAGAGAGGGAGAGAAAAAAAATTAGAGACAGCGAAAGATAAAGATATTCCGACATAAATATCACCGCCGTGATACAGACATGAATTTATTCACGATAGGTCATAGCGCTGCTATCATCGCCTGTCACTAGTGCGCGACGAAATCTTGTCATATTTTTTTCGGTGTTCGGCGGATGTAAGATAAATATTGCGAGTTATTGGAAAGCGGAGAAGACGAGAACGAGAGCGATCGCTCAAACTGCCAATGAGACGAGGAGAGGGAGGCATCGATAGAAGCGGGTTAGAAGAGGTGAAGGAGAAGAAGAAGAAGAAGAAGAACGAGGAGAATGAGGAGGAAGAGGAGCAAGAAGAAGAAACGGAGGAGGAGGAGAAGAAACGGAGGAAATAAGAGGATGGCGAGGCGGGGGTAGGTGTGGTAAGAGGGGGAGAAGGTGGATGAGAAGGAGCAGGAGAGGGAGGATGAGGTGGATAACGAACTGCGAGAGGAGAGGAGGATATGTGAGGGAAAAAAGCCAAGTGGGAGCTGCTGGCGCTTTGGGACAATACCAACCGCAGACTTTCCGTCTACCTATAGACTGACTCCAACGTTCTTGTGACATTGCATAACAGCCGTGGTTGAACCTTCAGCAACGACTGTGGAAATCGTCTATATCGCCAGCGCAGTAAAGCGTGTCAATAAACAAGAGAAAATCATATATCTCTATGTTTCTTTTCCGTGTAATTGACATGCCTCGCGCGCCATTACGCGTCCGTTTTTTGAGAAAATCATTAAATTGATGAGTTTTATCTCGTTCAGTCGCGTGGCGTGTTATGCGCCCTACGTGTTACACCCAATATTACACTCTATATTCGTCTCTATCTCCCACCCCTCTCTCTAGCTCTCTTCCTCTCCCCCATCTCTCTCTCTCTCTCTCTTTCTGTCTCGCTCTCTGCAAGTTCTCTCTCCCTCTCACTCTCCCTCTCTCTCTCGTTTTCATTTACTTGTCTCTCTCTCCCGCCTCGCTCTCCCTCTCTTCCTGTTTCTTGCTCCTCTACTTTCTCTCTTTCTCTCTCTCTCTCTCTCTCGCTCTCTCTCCCTCTTTCTCTCTCTCGCTCTCTTTCTCTCTCTCTCTCGACCTACCACACTCGCTCACTTTCGCTCTCTCTATTTCTCTCTCGCTCCTACTCTTTCGCTTGCTCTCTCTTTCTCTCTCTATCCGTATGTTTTTCCGTATGACCTCGGCCACGCTATGTGTTCAATGACAATATATGACGGTTCTCAATGACAATATTTACACGAACATGATGTGAATTCCATGAATAATTCTAATCGATATTAAACCGCAGCGCGTGCAGCCGATTTATCGATGACCAGAGTGCGATGATTAATTAGATCGGTGATCGATCATGATATTACATCAAACACTGGCCGCATCAGCTGATCTAGGACCGTAGGCTGAGCAAATTCCAAGGGGGAGGGGGGGATTTCATAACTGAACTGTGTATTATGATGAGGGACGGGCTCTTGATTGATGACGTCCATGGTGTAGTAGGGGTGGGTCTGAGTGAATTACTCTAGCATTCGGCAACAGTGCCAGTTTACCAGCGCTAATGCGGCTTTAACATTCATACGAGTAGAGAGCCACAAGCATGAAACGTATATTTTTACTGGATATAACGCGTTCATGGCGTTCATGGCGTTCATGGCGTTCATGGCGTTCATGGCGTTCATGGCGTTCATGGCGTTCATGTTCATGTTCATGTTCATGGCGTCATCATGTTCACGGCGTTCATGGCGTTCATGGTTTGCCTGTGAAAAATTTAATTACAAATATCCCTAATATAATGAGCCTTCTTCATCTGCATCATTAGCAACAATTAAAGACAAAACGTGACATAGCAGATTTTTGTTATACGTAGTCAATGTGTAGTAAATTATAAATACATAAGCATACCATGCACGCGTGGTGTCGGTATTGCGCGGCCTGCCTTCAGAAACCGTGTGAAGCCAACTGTAACAAACATTTTGCAACTTTTTAACCTGTGTAACTTAAATGGCATCAAAAGCGTTTAGTTTCAAAAACATATTACTTTAATTTAAAACAGTGGTATTCAGATATAGGACGCGGTGGTTCTTCAATTGACTTGTGCTTTGCAAAAATACAGTTACAAGGTTAGAGACATATAGCTCTTGACTATGTAATATCTAGTCCAGTGGTTCTTAACCTGGGTTCGACTGAACCCCAGGGGTTCGGTGAGTCAGTCTCAGGGGTTCGGCGGAGGTCCTCCGAAACGCATTAAAATTTTGCTATAATTTGCTATAATTTTTATTTTTTGTTCATTCTTTGCACGCTTTCCAAATATAGTCTTGAATGTTGATGCAATATGTTTTATTTTTGGATTAATTAAAATTGATTAAAATTGATTTGTTTTTGTCCAATTTGAGGGGTTCGACGAGTGAGCAGTGGGTTTCGTTAGGGTTTGGCACCTCTAAAAAGGTTAGGAACCACAGATCTAGTCCATGCACAATGTAAAGTGTTGCATCATTTAAAATTGCTTCTTGCTCTCTTCAGGAAAAAAATCTATTCTACAGTAAAGAATTAAGTTATTAATTTTAGAAATAGTCATAATAAGTGATAGTTTTGCAACGTTTATAATGAACTTACTTCGAGTTTTAGGAATTGCAGCTCTCGTTTCTAACTTGGGAAGAGAGTCATAGCCGTCACCCTTTTCCTCCTCTGATTGTGATTTTCTGTAAAAGATTTGTGATAGAACTTAATTAAAATAGCTTTACAGTTATGATCAGGGTATCTCATTAACAAAGAGCTATAACAATTAGAAAAAAATTAGGACCATTGCTAATTTGTTTTTGTTTGAATAAAATAATAGCAAGTCTATGCCTTACATAATAACTAAGCTTTGTTTTTTGGTATCATCTTAAATTATAATTGCTAGTTGCATTGAATTACTTTACACAGAAAAGAACAATCGAACACAGAACACAGAAAAGGCATTGGATTTGATTATACCTTTTTTCATCCACATGTGCAAAAAATATGGACTTTCTTTGTATGTGTGCATCGTCGAAATACACCGGACCATGTGGGCCTCCAACCAAATGAACATCCTTGGCAGTTCTCCCGTAATGGCTTGAAATGGCCCTTTTCACATTTTTTATGGTGAGATTTTCGTCAAATGGAATCTGATAAAATATATAAAGGCTTGAGAAGAATCTCAACATAACTTTAAGCGGAACAGTATAAAAGCCTGCTCACTGGCAAATCAAAGTGGGAGACAACAAAGCAGTGACCTCCACCACGCATCACGCATGGGGCCTACTATATAATACCAAGAGTAAGATAATAACCCACTTATAAGTTATTATCTTACTCTTGATGATATACATACCCTAACTTGGAAATGTTAGAATGGTAACAATTAATGTAATGTAACAATTCATGTGACAAGTAATGGCTAGAATGGTAAAATTAAGACAACTTGTTCAGCATTGACATTATAACATAGTAAAGAGTAGAAACACTCAATTTCCCATCTTATGTAAAAATTTTTAACTAAAATGTCACAATAATCTTAATTGTTTACTATAATACACTAGGATAGGGCCGTAGCTAGCAGGGGGGGGGGGCAGGGAGGCAGCTGCCCCCTGCCAAAAAATGAACCCAGTGAAAAATAATGGAAACTTAAGATTAGAAAATACTCGCTTAACCGTTTGAGGTTTAGGTATGTAACCTACCTGAAATGGCTGGAAATGGCATTTCAGAGCTTCTATATTTCAATATTTTATGGGGGGCATGCTACCAGAGCCCCCTAGAAGCGAGCGCCTCGGGCGCTCATTTATCTTGCCCCCCCCCATATATTAATTCCTAGCTACTGAAGGAACTGTAGTCTTTAGCAGGTGCTATCAGTTTCTAATTATAATGTTATATTTGTTTGATTTTAAACTTATAAAAACTAGGCTTGGTATTATTTGCTGCCTTTAGTATAAATGCATACCCGCTCTCTCACACCCACTGCAGCGTATGTTGCTCGCTCCTCTATAAACTCCATCTTCTGGATGGTGATGTATGCCTTTCGAAAACAAGGGGAAAACGTTTTTTAAATAAAACCTATATGTCACATTACATAACTAAGGATTACGAGTCGGTTATGACTATCTAAGCATCCAACATTTATATTTGACTATCAACGGCCATTATCATGATGCAATATTATATAGGCTATATATATATATATACATACAGTAAAATTCGCATAAGTCGACACTTTTGGGACCAGTATATTTGTGCCGATTTACGAAAATGACGACATTCGCGTAAGTCGTCATTTTGTCGACTTATATGTAGGGCTCCCCTCCCAGACGCCCGTCACCCCTATACACAGTCATAAACATGCTCCGCACATGACAACACTTCGCACCACATACATAGCAGACATGAAACAATCGGGTCCGTACATCAATCGACACCGCTGCTGGCCATAACGCACGTACATCGGCAAGGGCGGCAGACATTTGCTATCTGTAACTGTCCTGTATACTTCCAGTAACAGTCCAGTAACTGTCTGTATCTGTAATAAACACGTCCGCTGTTGGTTACATGTTTGGACATTGCAGAACATTTGCGGTGCACGTCTGCCAAATTTTCTTGGAACACTTGCTGAAAAAATACGGTAATTCCGCGAAGCCGTGCTCTGGAACGAACTAGTTAGTATAGCAACATTTTCAGAGTCACACGGACTCCTGCATAGGTCGAAAATGCGCATATCTGCGACAGCCAGTTCGCACATCCCCTATGACCGTTTGTATTACATGGGAACTGTCTGAGGGTGACGACTTGCACATAATAATGACGGCTTATAAATGGCGACTTAAAAAAAACTAAAGCGGGGGCTTAATTAGGCGGGGTTATTTCAATGGATTTACTATGAGAGAAAATCGGGAATTTGACTTCCACGACGACTTATGCGAATTGACTAAGTAGGTGATGACGACTTATCCGAGTTTTACTGTGTAATGCAACTCACTTTTTGTTTCATTCGGCCACTGCCACTGGCACCTGGTTGCAGTTTTGCATCTCTTGCTGCTTTTACTGTTGCTTTTCCTTTCTCTCTGCATTTTTTCCAAGCTGCAAAACATGGATTTCGCAGTGTCAGTGATTAAAACATATATATTAGCCTTGACATTGTGCAAGCATGGACAGAGAAAAAAATTGTTGTGCTGCTCTAACACGTACGCACGCACGTATACACACACACACGCTCGCACGTATACACACACACACACACGCTCGCACGTATACACGCACGCATGTACGTATATGCGCACGTAAACACGCGCGTATACACGCACACACGCACGTATACACGCCCACACGCACGTATACACGCACACACGCACGCACGTATACACGCACGTATACATGCACGTATACACGCACACACGCACGTACGTATACACGCACGCATGTACGTATACACGCACGCGCACACGCACGCATACACTTACACTCGCACGTATACACCGTGCACGTATACACGCACGCACACACTGACCAATAAACGCACACACGTATACACGCACGTATACACGCACGCACACACGCACGTATGAGGGGTCCAAGCCTCCCTCCCTGGCATCTGGAATTCTCTCTAATTTGCAGTGCCACCCGGGAGTGTCATCTGGAACACTCCATAATTTTGATGCACATAATGTAATGACATAAGGGCTCATAACGAAAAACAAAAACAAAATACAATCCACGACATTACATGGCATACGAATACGTATCGCCGCGTACGGCGTACCGCAGCTTGGCGTACGGAATACTGTTTGAAACATGTTTAGTCCCACTGTCCCGGTGTCATATCTACTTGTCAGTCGTTTATATTGTCAGTTAGTACCTTTCTAGTTTGAATGTCTGATCTTGGCATTTATAAAAAAAAGGCCAGATATCAACACCCAAACAACGAGAGAACTCTTGGTAAATATTATCCTGGAAAGCATGACTTTGCTGATTTCCTCAAAGAACTAAAATTCTTTCAGTGAGGCGACAAAGCATGAGGGGGGGGGGGGGGTCAAAGCCCTTTTCGGACGTCGGATGCCGACCGATTTACATAGTATTCCGCACGCCAAGCTGCGGTACTCCGTACGCGGCGATGGCAGTATATAACGCATTCGTATGCCAGGTAATGTCGTGGATTCTGTGTTTTTCGTTATGATCCCTTATGTCATTCTCGTAAAATCTGTCTTTTCGAGAAGGCAACAACAAATTTATAAAAATATTTTGGAGTATTCCAGATGCCAGGGCCAGCCTTGGACCCCCTCAAGCAAAAACATACAGATCTCATGATTTGACACACAGATCGAAACATTTGTAAATAAAAATAAAATTAAGTAATCGGCCGACCGTCCGACCCTTGAACCCCGAGGTAGGTCTGTTACAGCAACACAACTATTTTGTCTGGCCTTATGCTGTTCACACAGGGTTACGTTAGCACCTATACCTCCAAGAAACGGTCTTGCTAATCACTTTAAATAGATCGACACTTAGTCGCACATAGATACAATAATGTAACTAACCCCAACCTATCCTCTTGGGTTTGGGTTACATTATTGTATCTAAGTCGCACAGCCTTGTCGGGCTAGTTAGCAGCTATAGACTTGTATCACTATAGTATAGCCACTATAGGGCTATCTAGACTATATTACTATTAGCCAATATTTCATCATATTGATCCTACCTTCGTCAAAATCGAGCTTCTCTTCATCTTTCCGATTTGCCATCTTTCCACTTACATTCAATCACTTACTGTGACACTGAGTCGAGTCACACCTTCTCTTGCCTTTACTAAGGCTGTCAAACTTCGGTTACCAATAGCAACCAAACATGTGTCTGTGGTTGAGTCCCCCGGCTCACCCGACGGATTTCTAAAGGCCACCGCACACCAGACGATTTTTACAAACGATGAAACGATGAAACGATGA